AGTGCCATCTATTGCCACAAACCCCTACTTTCATTTTGTTTACATCAGTCCAAAGGAAAGGATGCAGTCTGCCCTTTCCCCACCAGTTAGTTGTTGCTGAAAGCACATTTACTGTCTTTTTTTAACAACCATCTTCATTTGTGCAGACCTGCTCTTGCACAAAATAAGATATATTAAATATATAATGTGCCTTTTCAAAGGTGACAGTAATGGAAAAGGAGATGAAAGAAAGAGAAAGTGACCCTGAAGTATTACCAACTTGAATAAAATATTGGGGGGGGGACAGGGCTGCCCTGAATAATTCACATGACACACCATTTGAATGGCAATGCCCATCAACTTTGTGGGGAGGGGGGCGTTAGCCCGCTCAAATATTTTACTGCAGTGGGGGGGGTGGGGAAGGGACCTCGGCCCCACAAGTTGGCACCTAGGCCTGCATAGCAAGGGGGTCGGACTAGAAGACCCTCGTGGTCCCTTCCAACTCGACCATTGTGATAAGCAAAACAACATTCTGTGATAAGCCTCAGGGTTTTTTTTACAGCTGCAAGGCAAATTTATCCCTGCTTCTCCCGTAGAAGCTAAACAAGCTATAGCTTAGGGGCCCACTCTCTTGGGCCCCCCCAAAATTTTTAAAAACAAAACAAAACTGGATGTACATTTCCAAAATATAAGATAAAAAACAAATAAAATAAAACCTACATCATAGCTGTCAACATTTCCCTTTTTTAAGGGAAATTCCCTTATTCTGAATAGGATTCCTCGCAAGAAAAGGGAAAAGTTGACAGCTATGACCTACATACAGCAACAGTGTTTTGTGTTGTGTAGTTTTCCCAGTAGTGATGTATGGAAGTGAGAGATGGATCATAAAGAAGGCTGATCGCCGAAGAATTGATGCTTTTGAATTATGGTGCTGGAGGAGACTCTTGAGAGTCCCATGGACTGCAAGAAGATCAAACCTCTCCATTCTTAAGGAAATCAGCCCTGAGTGCTCACTGGAAGGACAGATCCTGAAGCTGAGGCTCCAATACTTTGGCCACCTCATGAGAAGAGAAGACTCCCTGGAAAAGACCTTGATGTTGGGAAAGATGGAGGGCACAAGGAGAAGGGGAGGACGAGATGGTTGGACACTGTTCTTGAAGCTACCAGCATGAGTTTGACCCAACTGCGGGAGGCAGTGGAAGACAGGAGTGCCTGGCATGCTCTGGTCCAGGGGGTCACGAAGGCACGACTAAACAACAACAAAAGGCTCCTATGATGTAAATAATGAACCCCGCCTGCTAGCCTTTTGTTATGTACAAATGGCTTTAGAAACCTATTAGGTCCATAAATGACCATATAACATATGTTTAACACAAAAAAACAGTGACAATTTGTTGTTGACAAAGGACAGCTGGACATATAAAGGGCCTCATTACCTTCAGCAGCTCAGGGCCTCATCAAACCTAAATCCGGCCCTTCACCTGTTTAATTCCCGCGCGTCGCTGCAAACTTTAAAAGGGGGCGGGGCCAGGGTTGGGCCACGCCCCGAACCCGCCACCTGTAGTGATGACACGGGACACCCCATCCCACAATACCTCCTTCCGCAGAGGCGGCTCCGCTTGCTCCCCCCCCCCAAGCTGGAGCCCCTCAGCAATTCTGTGGCAATTCTTCCCCGCCTTCCCCTCACGGCCACCGACGCTCAAGGGCCGGGCAACAAAGCACCGCTTCCTTCCTTCGCCCCCGGCTGCGGCCCACCGAGAAGGCCGGCGCTGCCTCACCCCAGC